GATGTGAATTTTTTTTAACTTGCCTTTTATATTTTTTTTTAAAAAAAAGAAAATTATTTTAATTTTCTAGATAGTTCAATTTTAATTTTCTAGATAGTTTATTTAAATGAAATTAAATAATTATATAACAATTTATATGAACTGATGGACTGGTGCATATCTAATTTGATTTATATTGGATTTGATCTGAATCTGATTTGAATCCGATCGGATTTGATTTGAATCCAATTTGAATCTTATCAGATTTGATCCGAATCTGATTTGAATCCAATAATTTTGTAAATTTAAAATTTGATTCGATCCAAATCTGATCGGATTAAAAATTTTGAAATTTGATCTGATCCGATTCGTATTCGATTCATGGATCGATTGGATTCAGATCAAAATTGTAAACATTAATTATAATATTAAAACAAAAAAATTCATTAATAAAACTTTAAGATAAAAAATATCCATGTATTTTTCTTTATATATAATTTGATAAAATTGTTTATAATACTTACTATTCTTATTTATAGTAAAAATATTTGATTAATAAAAATTATTGGAACAAAAATCTTTTTAAAAGTTTGGTTTTTCTTTAAAAAAATTATATTTTTCTTAAATAAACAATATTTTTAAAAATAATATTATTTTTAAAATTAAATTAACTTTATTATAAGTTTCAAAATATTTTATTATTCAAATTTTCTATTTGATTTTAATTTTCCAAATAATCTTTTGAATAAAATAGTATCAATAGAATTATTTATTAATCTCAATTTCTTTCTTTAAAAAATATAAAAATATAATATTTAAATAAATAATTCAATAATAATTTATTTTATCAAATTGAATATTTTAAATTTATCTAAATATATATTATAGAATATTTGTTTTTGAAAAAATTATTTTATTATTTTTATCTATAAATAAAAAATTTATTAATTAATTATTATAAAAAAAATTTTTTTATACTTTTGTACTAATAAAGATTTCTTATTTTTTTTTAAATTAACTTGAAAGATAACTTTAAGAATTATTTTTATTTTATTTTTTTTCTTTTATTTATATATTTTTTTACATATAAACTTGATTTTTAATAATCAAAAAAAGTTAAAAATATTTTTTCTATCTATAATAAAAAAGTTCTAAAAAAAAGAGACACCAATAGTATAGTATTAAAAATCTATCTTTTAAAATAAAAATACAAATAAAAATTTTGAATAGTAAAAAATAAGTAAACAAAAGTTTAAACCTTGAAAACTTTTTTATTTATTGTTTTTATTTTTTTTATAATTACTTCTTTTTTAAATTTTTTAAATAATTTTATTTATTTTAATTTGACTTTAAATTTTAAAATCATACAAATTTATATATTATTTTTTTTTTATTTTTGCGAATAGCATTAAGTGCATGACTTTATTAAACAATTAAGTTATTAATCAACACTAATAATCATTACATGAATAATTATAGCTAATCGCATGGGTAGACCCTTACAAACTCTAAAAACTCAACTCGAGAAAGAGAAAAAATGGTAAATAATATCTAGCTACTAGTTTACTATTGATCAGTAAGGGTGCTTGCTAGGGTAATGTGGTAATGTATGTGACAGTTTGATTGTTAAAATCAGGTTTTTGTTATACTAGGCCTGGAAACCAGTTTGAAGCAAGCTGTAGGTCATGGGTCTTTCCTTATTAGAGACCATGGTCCTAATAAGACATGATCATTTTGCGCCGATCTTTTGAAGGGAGTAAGCTGACCACAGTTTTTGGTAGGATTTTGGAAGAAAGTTGAAACAAGAGGGTCCCATTTTTCATCTCCTGAGTTGACTAATGGTGGAGTTATCAAGTATTCAAATTAAGAACTCTTATCTAGCTATTTACTTCTGATCAATGCAATGGCAGTCTAGGCCCTCAGCAAGTAAGTCCTTATACTTTTGGTGCTGCCAGATGAAGTTCCCGCTGTTACTACCTCTCCTCCATTTATATGGCTTTGTAAAGTAGTCAGTGATTGTAGAAAGGTATGCCTAGAGTTTCGAAAATGTAACCTCCCTTGTTACAGATTTATCTTTCAATCGTGAGAAGTCTTGTTCAGTCCTTTTCATATATGTGAGCCCATTGTCTTGACTAGAGAAAAGCCTTGATGTTCCATGGGGTTGATAAGATATTTTGGTAAGAGAAGGAGTGAGAAGTCAAGGAAGAAAACCTTGAGAAAAGAAAAAACTATCCGTCGGTAGGAAGGGTATAAAACGAAGGGGTAAGTATGAACAGGGGAAAGACGAAGAGATGGGGGAGGTTAAGGAGTGGATGAAAAAAAAGAAAATAAAAGTATTTATGTCTATGACAACTCAGGCATACACAAAGTCTCGCTCCAGGAGTGTCCCAGCCCCATAAGACAGTTCCTTTCATCTCAGACATTTGCAATGTGCAGAGTTTAGGTCCACTCGCGCTTTTCTAAATATGATACTTTCTATACATCAACAAGTCAGGCAATAGAACCTCGTGTGGGTCAGCACATCTCATCTCAGACTCTATCTGCTGTATGGTTGATAAAGCGTATAGAGTAAAGAAGGGAGAAGGGGAAAGATAACTTCCTAAAAAGGAAATTTTCACAAAGTAGGGGGAAGTGGAAAAGAGTTTTTTTTTTTAAGAACCAGAAAGAGTTAATTTTTAAATAAGTATTAAAATAGAATATTTTAAGAAAAGTATTTAAACTTTAGCTTTTTTTCATCAAAGCTTTATCCCTATCTAAGGAATTTATGTAAAAAATAGAAGTCTATAATTCAAATTATCCATTACTTTATCTTTTGATATTATAAATATTTTTATTAAGGAACTTAAACTTTTAAGAATAAATACTTTCATATTATTTTTTTTAAATACTAATAATATCATCAGAACATGTAAGTGTGATCAACAAAAGCTTGTTTATATTCAAAAAACTAATATGCTTTATATTAGTCAATTATTTTTAATAAGAATTTTAGTTATTCAAAATTTAGAATAAATAAAATTTCTTAGAAAATTATGAAAACAAAAACTTTAAGAGGACTAAAATAATTCAAAAGAAAAAAAAATAAGTCTTTTAACTATAACAAAATTTTTATAAATCTTTCGCTTCAAAGATTAGAAAAGTTTTCAAGTATTTTATAGTTAGTTCTTTTTTTTTTTGAAAACTTTCTTATTATTGATATCAAAAGTATTACTTAACTATTCTTGATTATTAGAAGTCAGGTTTTTGAATGAAAGTTTTATATATAAAAAGAAAAGAATAGAAATGACTTTTGAAGTTATAAGTTATATTTCAAGTTGTTTTAGAAAAAATATTAAAACTTCAAATATCTTTTTTGTATGTAATCAAAAGATTAATAGAAAGAGTTTATTTCAATAATTATCTTAATAAAATATATCAACTTTTTTAATAATAATATAAAAAGACTCAACTTTTGATTTAACAATTTTTAAAAAATTTTAATCTTTTTAAAAATTGAGAAATTTATAGACATTCGATTTAAAAATTTTAAAGCTTTAAAGTTAAATATGACATATAATTTTATCACTTATTTAGACTTAACAATATTTTATTTTTAACACCTGTTATTAAACATAAGATCTTTATTAGTAAAGCTCATAGATTAGCTTTTATTATGTGTCTTTTTAATATTCTGGTTGAATTACAATGTATTCTTTGATCAATAAAAGCAAGTTGAGCCAATTAAAAAACAAAAAAAAAAAGTTATGCTAGTTTAAACATTCAATATAAATAAAATAAATCGATTATTCGTTAAAGCATTGGACAAAAATTAATAGATTTATTATGCAGTAGAATCTGCGTTTTCGTGTGTGCTTTTACCAATTTAGGCCAAAACCATAATTTTTTTAAGGGATTACATCAATTGCAGAGTCGTAAAGGTCGTAAATTATTTGAATTGTGTCACTTATAATTCTACACAAAACCATAGTACGTACTTATTTTATTGCCAAAAGTTTTGTTTTAAAAGTAAAATCGATCTCACGCCGGATCTTGAAATTTGAAGAAATAAAGCTAAGCATTCTTCGCATACACACTCTAGATAAACAAAGGATGTCATTTTGACAAAACCTTGAAATCGGTCGGTATTGTTAATCACAATCATTGAACTCTTCCCATCGTTACGGCTTTAGTAATAAGAGTCTGATCTCAGTGAAAACATCGCAACACAATCTTTATTGGCAACTTTTGTGAAGAAAAATGCAGCACGTAGTTCCATATGAGCATAAGAAAAGTGGCTCTCGCTCTTATAATGGAAATCCCACAGCATACCAGGAGGAGTTGTATAGTGGAACAAAAGGTCACATGGATAGTTATGCTGCATATAGGGCACCTCAAGCGGCGAGGCCCAGAGCACAGAGAACTAATGAAACGAATGTGAGACTGTGGGACGATGGACACCAACTGCAATATCCAACTCGAACAAGCACCAGTCAGAGGGTTATAAGAGAGTCTTTTGATCTTGGATCGCATCCGAATTACCAACAAGAGAAAGAGGTCTCTCGTAATTCATACATCAAGTTTGATTCAGCCTATTCTTCTAACTCTTCTCGCAAATTCACGCAACATCCATATCAACAGTATCAACCTACCTCTTCATTGTATCTCAACCCTGCAACCATCAGCGCGCCCTCCTTGGGAAAACTTTTGCCCGAGGGTAATATCTACTTGCCGTCGAATTATCAAGACATGCAACCAACGCAACACATTCAATATTCACAGCACACTCATTACACTGGACCTTCCAACCAGCGATACAGCCATAACAACAATATACACCATCTATATAATGACCTACCTCCACAAATTTCTGTGCAATCAGCACAAAATTATGAAAGCCATACGCAGCCAGTAAATTCGAGGCCTAATCCTGGTCAGCCTTTTGCCCAATATCAAATTTCCCAGAGAACAATGTCCACGAACGGTGAATCCTAATTACTGTTTTCTGACGTCATTTTTGCGAGATACGTTGTTCAAAGAATTAACATGATTATTATAACTACTATTGATGAACTTCCAAATAGGCGCAACAGTTTCCAATCTAATAATTCCAACATATGCTGACGAACATGTGAATTCTCGAAGGTCAACGGATAGTGTTCGCGAAAGGTCCAAGACTTCTTTGAGACATGAGCGCATGCGTTCGTTTTCATTCTCATTCTCAGAAGCATCGTCGCCTGTGAACTCGGATATAAGCACCCCATCATCCCCGTCTTCAACAGTCGGGAAGCAACCTTCCCCTATCGTGTATCCTGCCTTGCTTTCATTAGTCGCTGAGGCATTTCGCGCCAGGGTAACTCGTTCGAACAGAATGAAAGATGATCTTGAATATAAAGATAGTTTTGACGGAAGAGAGGCAGTGGTATGATTTATATTCAAATGTACATCTCATTGATATAATCCCTTCCGAAAAATGAATTTAACCTTTTGCATTTTCTTTTTTTTTTTTTTTTTGTGAACATCGTACTTTAAAGGATAAAATTGCATTTATCATTAAAACGACGGACAGGAATCTAGCCTTATTACTGGGAAGAGCTTTAGACTCTCAGAAGTTTTTCCACGATGTAACATACGATCATCGACTCCGTGATTCGCCGAATGAATTGTACCAATTTCAAAAAATGCCATCACTTCTGTCCTATTCAGATAATTATAATAATGAAGGAGAGTCGGTGGACGAATTCCTGGAAGAGCCAGACTTGCCGCATGGAGTTTTTACATTGTTGACCGATTGCTACTCACCTACTTGCAGCAGGGACAACTTATGCTATAGCATAGCATGTCCTAGAAGGTTGGAACAAGTGTGTAAATTGCATTTCGCTACAAATGGGCTTGATAAAAACTTCCTTTACCATGAATTAAATTAAATATTTAAAAATTACGAATTTAGCATGCAAGAAAAAACATGAAGCCGAATTCGGGCCTCAAGCGTGCAAATAGTCGTGGATCTATCACGGAAAAAAAGGTGAATATATTTTATCTTCAAATTTTGGATTTGAATTTTCCTTGTTTTATTCTAAAGTGGTTCAACTTTGAAGGATCAAAAATTGTGGATACACACGGTTCCTCCTGAGGTTGCGGAATCTGTTTCAGAAACCGAAAAGAAACGCCAAGAGGCCATAAATGAAGTCATCTATACAGAACAAGACTTTGTTCAAGATTTGGAATATCTCAGAGATGTAAATTATAAATATTATATCTTAGATTCATCTCATACTCTTTTATTAAGTTATTCCGCGTGAACTTTTTTAGTGCTGGATGACGCCTCTTTTAAGTCAAAATATTATTCCCGAATTTCGGCGTGAAGCATTCGTCAATCGTGTGTTCGGTAACATCATGGAGATACATGGCGTAAATTCTAAACTGGCATATGCACTCCAGGAGCGACAAAATTCCTACGCTATTGTTGAACAAATAGGTGACATTTTTCTGGAATACGTCCCAATGTTTAGTCCTTTCATTGAATATGGCGCTCATCAACTATGGGGGAAATACGAGTTTGAAAAAGAAAAGAATTCGAATCAAGCGTTCTCGAAATTCGTTGATGTAATGATTGCGACTATCTGTTGCTTGCATCGTCTCTCGCTTGTTTTATTTCACAGTTATTAATTTTAATTTATGAATTCTGATGCGCAAATTCATCATAGGAAACGGAGCGTCGTCCTGAATCCAGAAAGTTGGAGTTGAACGGCTATCTTACGAAGCCGACAACACGCCTCGGTCGATATCCTTTATTACTCGAGGCTGTCCTCAAGCAAACGCCTCAAGATCATCCTGACCGAAGGAATTTACCGACTGTCGTTAAACTAATAAAAGAATTTTTAGCGAGCGTTAATCAAGAATCTGGAAAATCAGAAAATCGATTCAACTTGCAACAATTGAACGACCAGTTGATTCCTAAAGGAAATGAAATCATGGTATGAGGTTTCCACATGCTACACGCAATAATCCTGTTTTTACGCATGTTAATCAATTCATCGGGCCATTCGATGAAATATTTCATCAGGATCTTAGACTGACGGAGGAGGGGCGTCGACTTATCTTCAAGGGATCGTTAAAGAAACGTTCCAAACGTTCCGGAACTGGAGAATCATCCGACATACATGTATTCCTATTCGATCATGCATTGCTAATGGTCAAAGCTAAAACCAACAACAAAATTGAGCAATACAAAATTCGTCGAAAGGTAGATGAGATATATTTGATATTTTTGTCAAAACAATTTTGTTCTTTTAGTCTGATTTCGTGTATGCTTCACTACAGCCAATTCCCCTAGAATTATTGGGTGTTTCAACGACGGAAGGGCCCACCGAAGGAACCCGTGTGAACACAAAGCGTCCTCACTCGATGTTACATGGACCGTCAGCGGTCCGTGGAAATAATGAAAGACAGTTTGCGATTACCTTTACATGCCTCGGGAAGAAAGGCTTCTCGGTGACATTATACGCCTCGACTTTCATCAGTCGCAAAAAATGGATCGAACATATTGAAAAGCAAAAAGAAATACTTAAGGAAAAAGGAAGGGTATTTGAGAAAACCCTTTTGTTGGAGAAAAATAAATTTTCTGGCACAAATAAGGTTATCTGTGCTGCTTTCTTTGGTAGGACTGATTATTTTGTGACCATCTTATCCGCTGTAATCACGAAAGCATATTTATTGATCCTTTCTTTAGACAATTATCGAAAGCTGGCGTTCGGAACGGACACGGGTGTATATGTTCTCGAGGTTGAGCAGACTCACAAATCTGCTACTCGAGTATTGCAAACAGAGCGGGTCTCTCAGATCGAGATCTTGGAAGATTTTCGGTTATTATTAATACTGGCCGGTAAGTTCAAAATTTTTTTAATAATGACTTGCATTCCTTGATTTCAAACTACGTCGGGTTATCTCGTAGATAAGTGTCTTTACACGTGTCCAATCGACACACTGGATCCCGATAATGACAATACCGCAAGTAAACGTCCAAAGAAGATTAGTTCACATGCTAGCTTCTTCAAGTCTGGAACTTGCCTTGGAAAAACTTTGGTAACAGTCGTGAAAAGTAGCGCACTCAACTCTACCATAAAGACTCTGGAACCACTTGAACAGAACGCCAAGAATAAACATAAAGGAACAACGCTCAAAGGATTGTTACGTGGCGGAAGTGAATCTTTAAAGACATACAAAGTACCGTGACTATCTATTTACTTCATCAAGCGATAGGTGAAAACCAACTGAATATCCTAATTTGTGAAATTGCTTATTTAGGAATTCTACATACCTGCTGAATTGATATCAGTGCATTTCCCCAAAAAGAAATTATGCGTAGGATGTTGTGCGAAGGGGTTCGAAGTAGTAGATCTCGTGACTCTAAACACACAAGCAATGTTACATCCAGACGATGTTTCGCATGATTTCGTCAGGAAAAGAGAGAATGTAAAATCAATTGCGATGTATCGTATAGGGGAAGGAAATTTTTTGTTATGTTATGATGGTAAAGGATATCATTTCTTGAAAAAAATTAACTCAGGTTCACGCACAGTATATTAATTGCCATCGTTCGTTTTATAGAATTTGCATTTTTCGTTAACAAAGAAGGTCGACGTTCAAGACCCGACTGGATAATATATTGGGAAGGAACGCCTACTTCTTTCGGTAAGATTTCTGGGTATTTTGGTGTAAAATTTCCGAAGAACCAGTCTAATCATTTTTCTATTTTAATAGCTCTGAGGTATCCGTACATTCTTGCTTTTGAACCTTCATTTGTTGAGATACGTCATCTCGAAACAGGTTCATTAGAACAAATAATTGAAGGGCACAATATGCGCTGCCTATACTCGGACCCTCGTGGAAACATTGTCGTTGTTACAAACGATCCGGCAACTGACAGTTCCGAAGTGTTTTCACTGAAACTTGTGGAAGGAAAGCGAACTTCCATATATTCAGAAGCCGCTAGT